GCGTCAGGTAGGGGGCGGACTCTATGAGGGATCGTCGTCTCAGACTCTGAGACGACGATGAGGGATGGGATCGTCGTCAGAGACGACGAGTAATGTTTCCATATCCCTTTATGTTATCGTTCAACCCAAAGGGATATGCTGTCATTAGAAGTTTGATCCAAAAAAGTTCCTTTTCTATTAATGTGGTTTTATCATTAGACTTCATACAGTCTAGTACTTGTACCGTTATACCTCTATCACATTTGTAAAAGTGATTATATAACGGTGTGTGTACCTTGTGTGAAAAAATATTAGAAAGATGTTCTCCAATTCTTTCTTTTAATTTTCTTACTGTCATTCCAACATATTGTATCCCACAGCCATTGCATGTTAAATACAGTAAAACTACATTTTTAGCGTTACAATCTGCATCTGCTTCTTTATATGTGTGTTAATGTATAAATTTGTAACGTTTGATACAATGTAATTATCTGTATTAGTTATATCACATGTTCTACACTTTCTTTTACATTTGCAACCCTTGTTAAGAGTAACCGAAAGTCCGTTGAGTTTGAAGTGATTGGCCCCACCCCTTACCTTGTGGAACCGGGTGGTGGAGTAATAATTTGTAGCGCTGACTTTCGCATTTTTTGACCTAAGATCTAAGCGCATGAGCGGTCAAACCCATACGCAGAGAGCAGACTTCCCGAAGGTTCGGCAGGGCTGCTGCCAGGGTGCTCTCCCTGCAAAACTACCAGCAGCGCTGGGGGCGCCAAAAACTGTCCGCTCTTGCCGTTTTTGACTTGTATAACCCCGTCAGCGCTAGTCCCTATTTTTTTTGAAGAGGTATGGCCCTCTTTTTTGAGAGGCATGGCCCCTCAGTGTGTTAATGATAGTGTGTGAGAAGTATGGGACATGTTAAATACAACAAAAAGTAGAAAAAAGAATGAAAAAAAAGAAAGGAAAAACGCGCAGGGCCAACCAGTAATAAACAGGCCATAGCAAATGAAACGAAAACCATCTATAGCCTAGGCTAAAGTGTAATACATGTGCCACATATGAGTATAATCCGTGATACAAGAGAGTAGGAAAAAAGTTGAAAGAGTAGTAGGGTTCATTTCCATATATAATAGTGAAAATTGCGGTGAACCAGCCAATGTGGAAGCAAAAAGTAACAGTCTGAAAGCAGATAGGTGTGAGGATACGTCAATCGACGCAAGAGGACCATCGGTCCCAAAGAACAACGTCAATCGACGCAAGAGGACCACTGGTCCCAAAGAACAACGTCAATCGACGCAAGAGGACCACTGGTCCCAAAGAACACCACTGGTGCAAGAGGCAGTCGCCTCAGTTCGAATCAAAAATCACTATAGAAGAACATAAAAGTTATAGACGGAAGTGAGTAGTGTATGTCGAATGGAAATAGCTGAAATCGAAGAGCGACCACCGGCCGCGTGTTTGGACCACCGGTCCGAATAGCAAGCACCACCGTGCGAGAGGCGATTTGCCTCAAAGAGGTAGCGAAGGAGTGTGGTATTTGAGAAACAAGATATAACCCGTAAGACGGAACTGGTATTTCACTGAACTAGGGTTACCCTCGAAGTTCAATGAACCGCTAGCAGTCAGTCATTAGAAGCAAAGAAAAACAAACATGGGAAAGGAATACACTTTCACAACACAGATGATCCGTTATCGCAGACGAATCATCATTGTCTAGCCAACCCCCGAGCATCATCAGTGCGATAGGTTGAAGACAAGAGGACATAGACTACATAGGGGAAGGTGTGAGAAATAGGACAAAAAGAGAGAGATTGTAAAAAAGGGGTAACATGCAAGTTAAAATGCCATCAAGATGATGATGAATTACACATAATAATGAAAATTATACATAATAATGAAAGAGTGATATAACACGAAGTGTGCTGTAAATACGTGTGGAAGGAAGGGAAAAGGAGTAAACCGGCAAAACCACTGAGAGAATGTTGAGTATAAGAGGAGAAGGTATACAAGAATTAAATCAATTCAAAGTATGGTGGAAGGAAGGGAATTAGAGTTGAGCACTGCTGCAAATGAGTTAACCTGTGAC